GAAATGACCAAGTTGTCTGCAGATGAAGACACGAAAAAATGAGATTCAGTATCATGCATGGCCAGACTTCCATGGTCACATACTAGCTATACAACTTTGACCCCAAGTTAAAATAGGAATGCAAAAAAGGGGCTATTGGTTCTCAGGGGATTGTGATTAGCTCTCTGCAATCCACCTCAACTACTGTGGAAACAACCCCTGTTAACAATCTTCAGCATCCACTCATATTCTGTTTCTTTGTAGCCAAGGCAGAAAAACTGTTTATGAGTTAAATGAATCGGATTCTGTTTTGTGCAATACCTCTTTGTATTCCTCCTAAATTGAGAGTTGGATGAGACCTTGGAAGTTTTCCAGTCTAACTCTGTATTTTACAGATGCAGAAGCTGAAGCCCAGAGAAATTTAGTGACTTGCTCAAGGGGCACACAGTAAATAGTAGAACTGGGATTTGAACTCAGGTTCTCTGAATCTAAATCCAGCAACACACGCAATGCACCATGTTTTCTCCCATCCTAGACTGTAGCTCTTGGAGAGTAGGAACTGTATCAAATATTTCATTTTTGTAATCTGAACATGTAGCATAGTACCAACCTTAATTGTCTGAGGTTTCCTTCAAATTTAACCCACCTTTGTCATTAACTGTCTTGTTGACTTTATATAGGTTACAATCAGTAAAGGTTCTTAGATAGCTGCCTGGGACACTGTGAGGTTGAGTCTTTCTTAGACTCACACAGCCAGGAAGTATCAGAGACAACACTTGAATCTGGGTCTTTCTGACTTTGAGGCCACTATATGCTGCCTCTATCATACAAAGTACATACAAACTAATACATAGTAATTTTGGGAGAGAGAGCTTCCTAATAACTAAGGGGAATCAAGAAAAGTCTCATGTAAAAGGTATCACTTGAGCTGTACTTTCTTTTAAAAAAATTTTTAAGGTCAATTTTTATTGATACATGTTTTTTCATTGCTTAAGTTTCCCTCCATATCCTTCCCCCTTCTCCCTCTCATAAAGTCATCCCATATAACATTCTGTTAAAAGTAAAAAGAAAAAAAAACACCAGTAAAACTTTTAAAATCACCCCCCCCCCAAGAAATCTGAAAATATATACAAATTGCTTAGGTTGTTAATCCTCACCCACTGACTTTGATTGATTGAAGAAGGTATACAGGCCCTATTTCACACTCAGTTCTGTTTGCACCCGATCTAGATACAAAAGCAAATAGGGGTCATTTCAACCCCATATTTCTACTAAGTTTAATTGTAGTTTCAATAGTTCTAAGTCCCATTGGCTTACAGTTAGCTAGCTTCTGTGGTAAACATTTACACTGGAGAGAAGTATACCAACAAAGCCTAGGTTTGACAATTTTACCATCAGACATGTACCAGAGTTTTTAGGACATTAGATAGCCATAGTGAAATGTAAAATGCCTAATTACCAGTATTGCAAACCTTTTTATGTTTTCTTAAGGTTTAAGTTTCAAACTCCCATCTGTAATAATAGTTATAACTTAAGTGGCTTAATGCTATTTGCAATTGTTTTGTTAATGCAAGTTGTTGAGGCTTTTACGGTTAACATTTCTTTTGTTTATCAGATAAAATACCCATACCATATCTGATTCACATTGTAAATTAAGTATCTTTCTATTCCTTCTTTCAGAGAAATCCTGGACTTGAAGGTTCTTAACCAGGGGTCCATGAACTTTTAGACAGCAGATAGGTTGATAGAAAAATAGAAAGATAGATAGATGATCAACAATTTTATTTTGGTATAATTAGTTTCCTTTGTAGTCCTATGTGTTTTATTTCATGCATTTAGAAACATTATTTGGAGAAGGGATTCATAGGCTCTACTAAACTGTCAAAAACTTCCATAACAAAAAAAGATTAAGAATCTCTGACTCATGCAATAAGTAAACTTTTCCCAGGAGCACTGGGATTGTTGTTTAGTCATTTTCAGTCATAGCAGAATCTTTGTGACCCCTTTGAGGGTTTTCTTGGCAAAGATACAGGAGTGGTTTGCTATTTTCTTCTCCAGGTGGGCATGGGATAGGGCTGGGGTTTAATAGGCAGAAAGTATGAAGTCAAGAAGCCTTGTTCCCTGCTCTTTAGAGGCCAGGCTCCCCCAAACTGAACCTAGACCAAACCACCTGCCTGGGCACAGAATATGGATTGAGTACAGTACCCTAGCCCCTGTGAACCTAACAGCATTTCATCAAGTTTAGATAAGTACATGTAGAATATATCCAAAATAAATAAAAGGTGGTTTGGGGAGGAAAGCACACTAGCACCTGGAGGAATGAGGCTAGGTTTCATTTAGAACAGACCCGGCAGTAGGTAGGGGCCAATAGTAAAAGACTAAACTTCTTTGGGCTGAGGATAGTTTTTTAGTTGCTCACTTTCCAAGTAAAGGTATAATTAATGATTAAACTATTTTGCAAATAAACCATATTTTTAAAAAGGGAAATTTCAATTAATAACAATTACTTATATGTATTACTTAAGATTTTTATTTTTCATGAAATTGCTCCTCTCAGACTAGAGACAGACCGATGATGGTTGGTTGCTGTGGGTCATATGACAAACAGGAGAGAGTGAGCCGTGGCAACCCACCTGCCAAGTCACATGACAGGCATAACAGTGACTAGTGGAAGGCAGGTTAAGAGGGGTACAGACAAAGCACTTGTTACATCTTTACTTTCTTTTATATCCTCTACATTTTTTGGCAGGCCACCAGAAATCCTCTGGTGGGCTGCAAGTGGCCCTCAATCTGTATGTTGTGCCTGATTTAGAAAGTAATGTTTGAGCTGCTGTCATGAAAAAAGCCAAGGATTTGAAGAGGTGGGGGAAAGTGGAAGTGCTTTTCAGGAATGGAGGACAGCAAGTATGAAGGATAGGGGAGATGGAACATCGTATAGGCTGGTATCTGGACTATAGAGTATGTGTCAGGTGTAATGTGTAAGATTGGAAAAGGAGGAAGGGCAGGAAGAACTTTAAATGCCAAACAGAAAAGTTAGTATTTGATGTTGGGCAAGTTATAATCTCTCTGGACCTGAGTTTCCTCACACGTAAAATGAAAAGTGTTGGCCTAGACGATCTCTAAGATTTCATCTTGCTCTAATTTTGTGATCCTGAGGACCTATAACCTTATGATCTTAGCAGCAACAGGGAGCCTACAAGGTATATTAAGGGGTGACATGGTTAGATCTTAAATTTAGGAAAATTACTTTGTTGGCTGTGTGGAAGAACTGAATTCTTGTAAATTGGGAGCAAAAGGCCCATTTCTATATTCCCTTTAACTTGTTGAAAAGGAGATGGAAAACAAAAGAAAGAACAAATAAATAATAAAAGGAAGATGTCTTCTGCCTCACTTCCTGCCAGAAGTAATATCTGTTACGTGAACTTTTGTGCCCCTGTCTTGCCCTCCTATGCACTTACCACAGTCCAATTTATATTGCCATTATTTGTCTTTTTAGTTTATCTTTTCAGTTAGAGTATAAAATCCATGAGAACAAAGACCCTCTTTGTATTTTCTAGATCTAGCACAAGGTCTTGTACATAGTAGGTGTTCAATAAATGTTTGTCAAATTGAATGAATTGAAAGATAAAAGGGAGAAAAATGAAACAAACATTTTGGTGAGGTATGATCAGAGCATGTTTCAGTAATTCAGTTCAACTAATGAAATTCAATGTAATCGAAGTAATGAAAGGGAACCAATTTCCATGTGGCTTATGGAACTTATCTCATTATTTTAAGTTATACTCTGTGTGAATATTTGTATGTATGTGTGCACACACGTTTAGCATATATATATATATATATACTGAATGCATGTGTGATCCTTACTTAACAAGTTTTCAAGCTGTTCAGACAAGTGACTTCAACACCTCATAAGTGAATTGTTAACCTAGTACAAATCTAGATCCTCAATTGCTTCCTGTCATTTTCTTAGTCCTTTTGTTTACCGAGATACCTTTTGCAAACAATATTTGGTTTCAGATATTCTTCCTAGAGTAGACTGCTGTGAAGAGATGTCTAAGAACATTCTGTTCACTATGTTTTCTGAGAGAACGCCTTAAACTTGGAAGAATTCAGATCATAGCTTGGAATCTGGAAACCCAGGCCCAGAAGTGTGATAGGTCACATAAGTAGCAAAGCAGCACAGCCAGGAATGAGTTCTCAGGTCTCTGACTCCAAATCTTGTACTTTTTCCATTACACCTCGATGCCTCCCTTTTTTTTTTTTTCATCAGTGTACCTCTAAAAAAAATTATTCTGTAATTTGGACGGTGGATACTTATTTGAATGTGACAGTGCGCAATTTGATCGTAGGAGCAAAATCGGAAGCATGTGTGTAAAAAGTGGGTGTGTACAAAAAAAGTAAAATTTTTGCATCTCGTGCTGACGGGAGGGAGCGAGACAGAGAGCGTGCTGCACACACTATTACAGACTTACTCCAGCTCAGTCATTTCAGGTCACGGGCATGTGTTTCCAGGACACAGAGAGGAAGTAACCGAGCGTGCAGGTTCTCGGTTGGATTCCCCTCAGGCTTAGTCTGCTCTAGACGCTGGCAGAATAGGGGCCAGCAGCATGCTCCAAAAAAGGCGCCACGGTCCCTTTAAGAGCCACACCATCCACCTTCTCCAAGATACCATGTTGCACCAGGAGTTCACGTGTTCCCTCCACCTAACTTACTGCATCCCCCCGTTCTGAACCGGGCCCGGCCTGCCGAGGGAGGGGAGGGGAGAGAGCCGCCGCTTTCCATTGGCTTTATCCGCACGGCCCTCTCCCTCCTATTGGCCCAGGCCGGTGTTGCTCGGGCGCTGCCTCCCGCCCGCCTGCGCAGTCAGGCTAGGTTGTGTGCGGGGCTGTTAGGTTAGTTCCTGTTAGGCCCTGGCCGGGGGGTGTAGGTTGGAGCCTCTGGAGATGCCCGGTGGCCGGCGGGCCGGGGAGCAGTGAAGGGGGCGTGTAGGGGGGGCGCGGCAGCGCGGAGGCCCGCGGACAGGTGGGGGTCGGGGAGGGAGGAGTGGTAGAGACCTCCCGCCCTGCACCATGCTCATAGAAGATGTGGATGCCCTCAAGTCGTGGCTGGCCAAGTTACTGGAGCCGATGTGAGTGTCCCCGGGCCGCCGGGGCCGGGACGGGCGCCGGAGGTCAGGGCCGACGTGGGCGTTGGGGGCCAGTGGGGGGAGGGGGAGGGGGAGAGACCTGCGGAAGAGGGGCTAGGGCTTAGCCAGGTTCTGTTTTGTTTGTTTGGAGGGGAGGGGGAAGAGGACTCCCTTCCCTCCCCCCCCGGGCCAGGGCAGGGAACAGCAGGGGTGGACTTGACCCCAGCGAGGGGTGCCTGGAAGTGGGGCAGAGGAGGGGGTAAGTAGGGGTCTATCTCTTGGGGGGGGTGGACACTCCTAAGAGGAGGGATGAGGGAAGATGGGGCAGGGGGTGTTTTTGCCACTGGGGTAGGGAAGAGGCAGAAAGAGATGTTTGTAAATGGTCTACTTTATTTCTGGGGGTAATAGTGGAGACCTTCCTTGGGGAAGAAGAGGGCAAGGCTGGAAAGATGTCTTTGCCCAGGGTTGGGGATGGGGGAGGGGTGGGTCGGGGAGGCTAAGCCGGGATCTATTTTGTTTGTTTGGGGTGGGCTGGGGTTTTCCGCCCTCCAACCCCCACCCTAAAGGGATTGAGGAGGAACTGTGTAGTGAGGTCTTTGGCCCCTCTATGGGGGAATGAAGACTTAAAGTTTTTCATCTCTTTTGGAATTTGGTCCTGTCCCAGAGAAAGGAGAATGGTAAGAAAGTTGAGGGCCATCTTTGCTATCTTCTCTTTAGGAGGTAAAGAGGAGTTTGGGCCGTGTGAGTAGCCCTGAGTAAGTGAGAGTTGCTGAGGACAATGTCTAGAAGCACCCGTGTCGAGGGTTTTATTTTTCTCCTACTCCAGAGGAAGAGGAGGGATATTGTAAGCTAACTTTTTACTTTGGTTTCTTGGGGTGGGACTGCTGCACTCCAGAGGAAGTCCTTTTCAATCCAGCGTGACATCTTCAATTTTGGTGTGTAAAGGTGGAGGGTGTGAAGTAGAGGACAAGTAGCAAGTTTTGTTAAAGACTTAGAAGATTCAGATTGGTGACTAGTTAGTGAAAATGACATTATAGGACATCTGAAAATCTCTTGAGAGAATATGTCTGAGTATACATAATGTCTTATCCATGAACAAAAGCAGTTAGAAGTGGTCAAGGTAGGGAATATTAAAGTAGCCAATTTGTGTGATTGGTTATATTTGGAGGAGCCTAGGAAAAGGAGGAGTCAGAATGTTATAGTCTATATTTTGTCAGTTTATTTCTTGTTCCTGAATCATTGTGGGGGGGGGGTATGGAGGGGATGGTGTATTGATGTGTTTTGAGGTACTGTATATTAAAGAGGCCAATTTTTATTGCAAAGTTTGGACAGTATAAACAGCAGCTGCTGATTCCTATTTGCAATTTTTTGGACAGGTTTCTCTCACAACTAGCTTTTATTTGTATATTGGCAGAAGAGAGATGGGATAGTATTAGGCAGGATTTTGTGATCGATGTTTTTGGTTAAATGTATGTGTTAGTTTAAAAAAATTTGTTTGTGATGCCAAGTATATGGTTCCAGATCTTCCCATTGCAATCACTTGCCTTTTCTTTAAAAACGAAACACATAGCCCTTCCAACTTCACCCTCTCCATTAGATTGAAATATCCATTTTTTCCTTTATTAACCTTGTAACTTTTGGAGAACTTTTTTTTTTAAGTTTCTTAAATCTGTTAACAGTATTTCCCCCTGACCTTTTCAATATATATGATTTGAAAGTTTAAAATTCAGAGAATCTTACCTTCGATTTTCATTAGTCAAAAATGAATTATTAGGTTTAGTTAAACATTAATTGAATTCATTGTTTCAATTTATTTTTGAGTTGTGATAGGATAGTATTTAGAATTGGAAAGTAGTGTTAGAAATCATAGGATCACAGATTTAGAACTGGAAGGGACCTTAAAGACCATCTAGTCCAACCCCTCCCCTTCATTTGACAGATGAGAAGACAGGCTGGCAAAAGTGTGATTTGCCTTAGATCACAGTATTAGTAAGTGACAGAGGCAGAGTTTGAACCCAATTCCTTTGACTCCAAAGCCAGTGCTGTTCCCCATTATACCATACTGCTTTGCAGCTCCTCCATTTTACGTATGAGGAAACTGAGGCCTAAAGAAGTGAATTGATTGTCCCTCACGTATTCCTCAGGTAGCCAGTGGAGAGTTGGGATTTAAATCCAGGACCTCTCATTCACTACCCTCTTGACTATATACTACAGTATCTTTCAACTTAGCACAATACTTTTTCTTTTGTATATACTTAAGAGGTTACTTTTTTTTCCTTCCTTATCTAAAGTCAGTACTGTAGCTAACCATACAGGTGACTTTTGCTTAAGTTTGTAGTATTAGAAGTTGTATATGTAGGTGTGGTATGAAGTATGTAAGACATCCTAATTACTAGTAGGCTTTGTGGAAAGATTAGGTTTCTTTTAATAGCCAGATGATTAAATAATCTACTAAAATGGGATATGGTTATAAATGTACTTTTTTTGTATCATCTGTAATCTAGAGATTTTTCTTTAGCCAAATTGTCAAAGTATTCTCATATGGTATTTCCAGGCTAATTGTTAAGCTTTCAGTTAGATATTTATGATCTTTGTGTGGAACTTGAATAACTTATCTTGTGTTACATTTTCTCTTTATTTAATTTGCAATAATGTTGCATAGTCTTTTAAAAATGGTATGCCTGTTCCCTAGTGTAATAGGTTTGCAGGTAGAGTGATATTATTTTTTGGTGTTCATAAAAGCAGTTAGTATTGCAATAAGGTGAAAAGGGAGTTAGATTTGAGTCAGGAAGCAGATGTCTTACTCCTTACCTTTTTATATTGACTAGTTAATATCTTAGGTAAACTTTCCAGCCTGTAAATGTGAGTGTTCCCATTTAGCACACAAGGATCGTAATAGCATAGAGCTAGTATATTTTGGAGCTAAAAGGTATTTTTCTTTATATCTCCGTTGCCTGGTATATAGTAGGCAATTAATGCTTGTTGGTTAATTGATTATCTGAACTTTACACAGCTAGTTAGTAGCAGAACTGGACCCAAATTCTGATCTCCTAACTAATACATTACTATTCTTTCCACTATACCACACTCTTATCTATTTTAGAAATAAGTAATTTTATTGTTTGTTTTATAATTCATGAAATACCCACAGTGACACACCACGAGACATAGCCTCATGTATAGGGACTGTGGTATCATCGATTTAGACCTGGAAGGGAGCCTTAAAGGCCATCTGACCCAAGCTCATTTTCTGGATGAAGAAACTGAGGTTCAGATAAGTAAAGAAATTTGCACATGATCACAGAAGTATAAAGTAGCAGAGTTGAGATTTGAACCCTGTTTCTTTGAATTCAATCCCCTTTCCACTACACACTGTCTATGTAACAAGTGTTTGAACTCTTATGAATGAAAGATATTAAGTGAATATAAGGCATTTTTCCTTGATGAAGAAATTTCTTTAAGTTCTTCTAATATATATTTTGCAAACCTGAAATTGTATCTAGTTGGTGGGTTTTTTTTTTAATTTTTGGGGGGAATTTGGATATTTGTGATATGTTCATAGGTTTCTTAGTTAGGAGAGCTGGAGAGTTCCAGATTTCTTTGCTTTGCTGTGTGATGTTGTAGAAGTCAATTTAACTTCTCTCTACCTTTAGTGTCTCATCTGTAAAATTGGGGTAACAATTCCAGCCTTTTGTCAACCTCATAAGAATGTCATGAGTATTAATGGGATGTCTGTAAAAATTCTTTGCCTCAAAAAGAATGGCTGTATAAATAAAAGGTTGTAATATTCTGGATCTTGAAGCTGCTTTTCAAGTTTATGAAAACAGATTTGACTGTTCTTTATGTCTAAGCACCTTGACTGTTGTTAATGTTAAACTGTAAAAGATCGAGCAGTGGGCTTTAGGCCTTGCTGACTGAAGTAGCTTTGAGGATCACCATTTCCTTTCTGCTGCTGGTTAAGGAGACCTTTTTATTCACCCCAAGGCATTCTCTTTTGCTGATTTGTAAACTTCACTGATTTCTAGCCTTTAGCTCAAAGCACAAATCTCTTTGACTTTTTTTTTTGGTTTCTCTGCAGTTTAGAGATCTAGTGAAACTGATCCCTGAATTACTTTTCAATGATCTGCTCAGGCTACATGTTTCTTGTTGGCCAGTTCCATCACCTGCTTCCTCTTTCTCCCGTAACTGATCTCACATACTCCAGGCCATTAAGGAAATTTTTAAGTTTATTCTCAAGGAAGGAGAGTAGTATACAGAAACATCAAGACAAGGATGGCAGGTATTCTCAAATTTGTGTAAAAGCCTAGTCTGGTTGATATTGAAACATCCAGATTATTCCATTTTCATGTAATTCCTGGGGTCTAACTTGGCTCCATGACTACAAAAATAAAATTGGCAACCCTCAACCCAGGCTACTACCTTCTGATTTGGGATTTGCTTTGCATGGGTGTCTGAGATCAAAATAATTTGTCCATATGCAGTCCCAACTTAACTCTCAGCTGGTTAGAAAGCCTTTTGATTACTAGTAGGCTTTTGATGAGCCACCCATATTTATATTTTGTTGTTAAGTTGTTTCTGACTCTTAGGACTCTGTTGGGGTTTTCTTGGTAAAGATACTGGAGTGGTTTGCCATTTCTATCTCCAGCTCATTTTTACAGATGAGGAAACTGAGGCAAACAGGGTTAAGTGACTTGCCTCAGGTCAAACAGCTTGTAAAGTGTCTGAAGTTGTATTTGAATTCAGGTCTTCCTGACCCCAAGGCTGGTGCTCTGTCCACTGTGCCACCCAGCTGCCCCATATTTATATTAACTTTTCCTCATAAAATATTTTACAGTTGAGTCCTTCACACATCCCTCAAAGAAAAAAACAATTCAATTTGATCCCCACTTAACCCTCCACCCCAAAGCTCAGGAAAACACTATTGCTTTCACTATATAAATCACCAGCTAGCCTTCAGAGATTACGATAGCAAAAGAAGGAAAAAGGTGTTATAGGCATAAAAT